ATGCTTTTTTCTATTTCTGTTGCCATGTCATTTAATTTTGTCAACAATTTTGTACATCTTTCCTTTACATGTTTTAGTAATTTTTCACACAGTTTACTTTTAGTTATATTATTTTTGGTATTAGTGTTATTATTACAGAAATTATTGAATGTATTATTTTTCGTTTTATTCCAATGCAAACAGTGTTTATTGAGGGTTGATTCACATTTATTTTCGCTATTGAGACTTCCTCTTAATTCATACATAAGTTTCATTTCTTGTTCTTGTGTTTTACGATACGATTTACAGCTCTCCTTCAGTTCTTCGCATTTTCCATTCTTTCCATTATTTCGTACAAGTTTTTCACAGCTCAACATAAACTTATCACAATAAGGCTCCCATAAATCACATGTAGGGCCCTTTACGCTTGCATTATCATTCTTCACTTGATTTAGAACGTCTTCAATATCTATATTCTTTTCTAATACAGAACATTTAGATTTAATGTCTCTAGTAATGATTTGACATGTAGTGACTAATTGTATACACGAAAAAATAAATCTTGTTCTCTTTTTTTTAGACCATTTATTACATTTTTCTGAAACTTTTTTTATACATGTATCTAAATTGCCTAAATTTTCTACTTTTTCTTCTAACAAAATTTCCTCGAATTCCTTAGCATTTTCCAAATGATTACATCGTTCTTTCAGTGTAAAACATGGCAAGTCGTTCATTTTTGAATCATGTCCTAACACTTCACATTTCTCTTTTAGTTTTTTGCAGTCTTCTTCATCTGGAAAATCCCTTTTCCAATCCAGACCGTTTCTAAGCCATCTACTCTGCCTTTCGATATCATTTGCAAGCTCCTTACAAGTATCCCATGGGTGTAAACAAAGATCTATTAATATAGGATTATTACTGCTAATTATTTTCTCACATAGAGTCCATAGTTCATCTATGCACGTTTTAAGTGAATTCTTTGTTAAATTATGCAGTTTTCCTTTTAATGTACCCTGAAATAGTTGATATTCTCTTCTGAAAAGTCGTGTTTTTAAACATGTTGATTCTACATTGATACATGCATTAGACATTTTAATACCCGCATTATTACAAGATTTCCTTAAATAAAAACATTCTGATTCTAAATCTATGCAAAGCTTTTCATTAAAGTTAGTAGATTGCTTGGTCCATCCTATAAGTGTAGCATCTTTATTGTCTTCGTTAGTATCTGATAGTGATAAATCATATAATTTTGATTTAAAAGATTTGCATTTAGGTTTCAAGCTTCTTTCTAAGGTATCGCATATTTCTTTTTTGCTTTCATCCATTTTCTTCTTAGTGTTGTCATATAAATCCTCTAATTGAGGTAAAAGGCTACAAAGTTTATAACATTTTTCAATATTAGTTTTGCAGCTATTTAAATAATTATTTGATAATAATATTAAAAGATCAATTGTATCTTTTATCCCTGGTTTTCCAATTTCGTCTTTGAATAATTTTTCTTTTCTAACTTTTTCTATTAATATAATTTCTTTTCCTATTGGGTTAAATGGTAAAGAAAAATCTTCGTATTTTACTTTATTCTCACATCTTTTTTTTATTTCTTTACACATATTTTGAATACCATCGCAATCTGATTCATGAAAGTTGCATTCCTCAAATAATGAAGTGCATTCTTCTTTTGATATTTTATTGTTTTCGATAAAAAATTTTGTTTTAAATTCTAAATCACTACACTTTTCTTTTATTAATTTTACAAGTTCGTTACACCTATTAAAAGGAATTAAACAAAACTCCATCAATTCATCACTTTCTCCCATGAATGCAAGACATTTTTTGTCAATTATTTTCTCACACTCTTCTTGAGTTTTCAAATTGCCAGATAAGACTCTTAAAAGAAATTCTGTTTTCAGATTATCTCTTCTTTCTCTTCTACATGATGTTCTTAAATAATTGCATTCTTCATTAACTTCTATTGGACATGCTTCTTCTATACGCATACATTCTTTTTCATACAAACAATAAGAACTTATGGACGGTTCACTTCGGATACTTTTTAAACTTTGTTTAAGTATAGTACATTTTTCTGTAATAGTTTTTTTTAAAGTATCGCACTTTTCATCTAGTTTTTTTTCTTCGCATAGTTCTTTTAATACACGGAAGGAGCTTTCTAGAATTTGAGTCATATTTCTTAAATTTTCACAGTATTTTCTTAGCCTTGCTTTACATTCAGTATTCATTGCATTTTTTAGAATTAAGGCAAAAATATTTCCTTCACTAAATAAATAATTTGTTAATTTTACAAATTCTAGTATTATTTAAAGGTTTTTGTACGTTATATACAATAATGGATTTTGTGACGGATTTTGTGGTGGATTTTGTGGTGGATTTTGTAATGGATTTAAAGATTCTTTATAAATAGATTCTAAAAAGTTAAAAATCCGAAAAAATAAAATATAATACCAATGTTTTTTGAAAAAGCATACGCTATGCCAAGAAAGCCGGCTAATGCAAATGCTTTCATCTATAATGGTAACAAATAATAATTTTTGTAAAAAGTGCTTCACATTTGACATCGAAAAATATCGTTCTCAGTTAAAAAATAGCGATAAACGATAATAATAAAATACAATAAATAAATAGGCAAATATGTACCATTTTGAATTGTACTGTATTGTACTTAGATATTTTGACTCTCGTTGAGTTTTTAATTTTTAATATTAATATGTAAATTCTCACAAAAAAATATTTTTAATAAAGATTTTAAATAACAATTTTATTAATATTTTTTATGATTTTTACTTTCTAATACTCTCTTTATTATTATTCTCTATCTTTTACTTCATTTTTATAGATATAAATAATATTGTCTTGATTTTTTCTACATTTGTCTTATTTTTTGAATTTAACTTTCCGAGTGCTTCTAAAAAACTTGAAAATATAGTCAAGATTTTCACTTTTTATTTTTTATTTAAAGCTATTTCATAAATTTATTCATTTTTATTTTTTATTTTTGGTTTTAGAGTTGAAATATAAATTTTAAATTATTTATATGGTATTTTTTTGTTTTTTTTAACCTTTTGTTCATTTTTTGTTGATTTTTCCTATTCTAGAGTAATTCAAATTGTAAAAATGCTTTTTAAATAATAATTATTATGGCTTTTAAAATTTATTTGTACCTTTGTGTGTTTCAATTTTTGGTTTAGGATTTTTATTTTTTTATTTCGTACAAGTTTTGTATACTTCTAATATTAGTAAATTCCAGCAAATTGCTTTATTGGCTTTAACTTTTTTAATTTTTGTTTTAAATTTTCTTGTTTTTTAATTTTTTTGGAATTTAAAAAGAATTTTATATTCATCAACCTTAAAAAATTTAATTCTCTTTAGTTTTTGATGTATAAGACATATTTTTTTAAAAAATATTTATAATTTTTTGAATTTATAAATATCTCAAACATTTGTTTTTGTGATTAATTTTTAGTTTACATTTTTTATATTTTTCATAAATCATTTTTAATTTTATATTTTTGGCTTTTCATACAGTCAAATTTTTAGATATTACTGTAATATAGATTATTCTATTCTACAAGTTATTATTCTAAATATTCTTTTTAAATGTTCTTTTTAGAAATGACAACAATTATATAAATATTTATCCATTCATTTGAATTTTTTTGGAATTAAAAGTATACATTTTAAAATAAATAAAATTAGGAGTAAAATACACAATAATGGTTAATTTTAGAATATGTTTTATAGTTTTATTTATGTTCAAATGTCTCTAAAGTAGTATGGAGTAAATCAGGAGTAAATATAGATAACGCAAAAACGAATAGAAAATATAATATAAAAAGCATGGCTAGTAAGAAAATGGCTTAGTGAAAAATATAGGTTAATTATATAGAAAAAAGAGTTTTTAAAAAAAATTCAATCTAAATTGACACAGTTGACACAGAAGAGACTATTTCTAATTTATTTTGCAGTTCTTGTCATTTTACTTGCTTATCTAAACATACATGCTTTCTTCTAAATTCTGTTTATACATTTCTTAAACGTTTATTAGGAAATGTTTTTTATTAGCTTAAATATAATTTTTTTAATTAGAATTAAAAATAAGTTTTAATTTAAAAATTTTTTATTTGATATTTGAAATTTTATTC